ATGGTAAACATAATCGGTTGAGGGAAGAGCGAGGGTGGTGTGAGGGTGTCAATACCCTGAATTTCTTGTTTCGTCTAATCAACAAACCCCACAAGAATACGAAAGAATGGGTACAGCATAAATATTATTGGCCTTGGCTTTATTGCGAGCGTTCAGCTCTGAACTGATTTGCTTAACGGAGGCCACCGGTGGGGCAGGATACGCTCACCCTTTCGTGAACACCTGGTATCATTACTATACTGATCAACAAAAGTTCCTGTGACATTGAATAAGATTTAATGCAAAGTTATGTTTTTTACCAAATCTGAAACAATTTCGGTTTGCAACAGATAAAAGACTCAACTGTTCAACTGGTTTAATTTGCCATTCTGACTTCAGAAAATGCGTGATTTCATAAAAAAAAACCATGAACATGCCAAAATGTCAATTTACAAATCAATAGAATGGAATGGACCAGGCGTCGCACAAAGTCCCGTGGGATATCTGTCCATATCTGCTTGAGCATGTTTCGAAGTTCCTGGAGTGTCTGTGGAACACGTGGTGAACGTCGAAGGCGCCGATCCATCTCATTCCACAAGTGCTCGATTGGTGAGAGATCAGGGGAACGAGCCGGCCAAGGGATGACATTCACGTTGTTTTGTTGAAGAGAATCCTGAACAAGTCGAGCAATATGAGGCCGAGCGTTGTCATGTTGAAAGGTAATGCCTGGGCCATGACGACGCAAAAATGGTAGAACAACAGGGCCGATGATCTCGTCGCGGTAGCGCTGTCCATTGAGATTTCCCTCTACCACTATCAAACGGGTCCTCTGTCTTGCTGTAAGCACACCCCATACCATAACGCTGCCGCCCACGAACCGATCTTCTTCCATGACACAATGATTGACGTAACGTTCACCTCACGGTTCACTCGAATCCGTCCATCGTTGTGGCTGAGGTAAAAACGAGACTCGTCAGTGAATAGAACTTGTCGCCACTGCATGGCCGTCCAGCGTAGACGCTGTCTGCACCACTGTAGACGTGCTTGAAGGTGGTTTCCCGTCACAATGTGACGTCTGGCGGGTCTTCTGGCGACAATCCCTGCAAATCTGAGGCGACGACGTACGGTTTGTTAAGGTATTCGTCGAAGGCCAGGGATGCTTCTTGCAGTCACTGTTGCTGGCTGGAATCGAAGGTGTGTTGTTCGAATCCAGCTGTCTTGTCGATTATTGGTTACGCGTGGCCTACCACTCCGAGGATGGTCTCTAATTGCATTCGTCTGTTGCCAACGTTGCCATAAATACCAAATAGTGTTTCTGTGGACGTTAAATTGTCTTGCAACATCACGTTCACTCGATCCTGCTTCAAGCATACCAATGGCTCGCGGACGCAGGCGTGGCATTTCGTAATGTTGAATAATTGCGTAATTTTGTTGTTTTTCTGAGTGGTTGTTGTCAGCACGATGCTAAACAATGCATATGGAATCCTGTTAACGCACATGTTTTTATACCCATTCTCGGGTAGTGAAATGCATGGGGCTTGCAAAAAAGTCATCTTTTGCATGGAATGCATGTTTTCTGTAGCAGTTGCATTTTTGTGACTTGATTCCATACATTACTACAATATTGAAAAATTTACTTGTTTGAAAAAAACACTAAAATATTGGTGTCACAGGATCTTTTGTTGTTGAGTATATTTGACAGTGATTCATAAACACATGCTAATGATATAGTCAGAATCGTACAGTCGACTCTTCTTTATGCAGAGATTTCCATTGGATATGGAAAGGGTTTTGTCGCTTTAGTAAAGTCTACATGTGTTTTATGCTCGAAGTTTTTCCTTCATTTGGGCATTCTGGTGTTAGTCAATCTAGATTATCTCAATATTGTCCAAGAAAACCGAAGCCACTACTTTGCCAAATATGCACTTCTTTGACCGAATGTCTCCACTGTCCTTTCGGACGTCTTGGCTCTTGATCAAAGTCAGGGCCTAAGGTCTCATCCTGTTTTACAATTAAATATTTATCAGGATACTGGTGATATCTGGTCAGAGGCCCCTGTGGTTATCGAGTAGTGTGAGGTGAGGTGAGGTGAGGTGAGGTGAGGTGAGGTGAGGTGAGGGAGTTTAACGTCGCGTTCAGGATTATTGTACTTATATAGCGACGTGCATGTACGTGTGTGTGTGGCTGCTTGTACTAGTCCGGACTGATGCCGATTTATAGTGCTAGCTCACTGATACCATGTCGCAGTTTAGTATGAATACCCCAGTCAGACACAGGATACTGACACCGAGCCGACAAGTCCTTGTTTAAGCCCCTTAATGCCGAGCGCCAGACAGGGTAACAACAAGTACCATCTTTTAACGTCTTTTGGTATGACGCGGCCGGAGATCGAACCCCGGACCTTCCGCTCTCCGGGCGGACGCTCTACCGCTCGACCATGGAGGCGGTCCATATGGGATGGATTGTATTGATCCAAAACTGATCCTAATAGTGTCGACGATATGCTTAATTGTAACACACCAGTCATCCAAAATTATCCGGTTGACAGCTCGTACAAATTTTAAAGATTTTCCATTACGTCACCAAGATTTACATACATGTACTTACGTAACAGTTTTATGAATCCATGTGAACGATTTTGGTGCACAACATGTATGAGGGAATAATTTTTTAAAGTCTGTTTTTTCTTAGGCCTTTGCAGATTTAGCCCGGCATACCACAGCGCATGTGTTCTTGGGGATGCTTTGGGGCGGTCAGGTAGCCTAGTGGTTAAAGCGTTCGCTCGTCACACCGAAGACCCGGGTTCGATTCCCGATATGGGTACAATGTTTGATGCCAATTTCAGTTGTATGTAGCAACAGTGCCTGGTTTTACAGTTGTATGTAGCAGCAGTGCCCAGTTTTACAGTTGTATGTAGCAACAGTGCCCGGTTTTTCAGTTGTATGTAGCAACAGTGCCCGGTTTTTCAGTTTTAAATAACACCAGTTCCCAGTTTCAAAAATAACAATATTACTCTGCTATTCAGTGTCACATAGCTACAGTACCCAGCTTTAGAGTGTTGCATAGCAACCATTCTCAAGTTTACAATAATACATATCACCAATTCCCATTTTACTAATACTATTTTACCCTGTGTAGTGTCACATAGCAACAGTAACCGTCTTGAAAGAATTACGTAGCAACAGTTCCAAGTTTTATAGATAACAACAGTACCCGGGTTTACAGTGTTACGTACCAACAGTTCCCAGTTTTATAGATAACAACAGTAACCGGGTTTACAGTGTTACGTACCAACAGTTCCCAGATTTATAGATAACAACAGTACCCGGTTTTACAGTGTTACGTACCAACAGTTCCCAGTTTTATAGATAACAACAGTACCCGGGTTTACAGTGTTACGTACCAACAGTTCCCAGTTTTATAGATAACAACAGTATCCGGTTTTACAGTGTTACGTACCAACAGTTCCCAGTTTTATAGATAACAACAGTACCCGGTTTTACAGTGTTACGTACCAACAGTTCCCACTTTTATAGATAACAATAGTACCCGGTTTTACAGTGTTACGTACCAACAGTTCCCACTTTTATAGATAACAACAGTACCCGGTTTTACAATGTTACGTACCAACAGTTCCCAGTTTTATAGATAACAACAGTACCCGGTTTTACAGTGTTACGTACCTACAGTTCCCACTTTTATAGATAACAACAGTACCCGGTTTTACAGTGTTACGTAGCAACAGTTCCAAGTTTTACAGATAACAACAGTACTCGGTTTTACAGTGTTACGTACCAACAGTTCCCAGTTTTATAGATAACAACAGTACCCGGTATTACAGTGTTACGTACCAACAGTTCCCACTTTTATAGATAACAATAGTACCCGGTTTTACAGTGTTACGTACCAACAGTTCCCACTTTTATACATAACAACAGTACCCGGTTTTACAGTGTTACGTAGCAAAAGTTCCAAGTTTTATAGATAACAACAGTAACCGGGTTTACAGTGTTACGTACCAACAGTTCCCACTTTTATACATAACAACAGTACCCGGTTTTACAGTGTTACGTACCAACAGTTCCCACTTTTATACATAACAACAGAACCCGGTTTTACAGTGTTACGTACCAACAGTTCCCAGTTTTATAGATAACAACAGTACCCGGGTTTACAGTGTTACGTACCAACAGTTCCCTGTTTTATAGATAACAACAGTAACCGGTTTTACAGTGTTACGTACCAACAGTTCCCACTTTTATAGATAACAACAGTACCCGGTTTTACAGTGTTACGTACCAAAAGTTCCCACTTTTATAGATAACAACAGTACCCGGTTTTACAGTGTTACGTAGCAAAAGTTCCAAGTTTTATAGATAACAACAGTAACCGGTTTTACAGTGTTACGTACTAACAGTTCCCAGTTTTATAGATAACAACAGTAACCGGGTTTACAGTGTTACGTACCAACAGTTCCCACTTTTATACATAACAACAGTACCCGGTTTTACAGTGTTACGTACCAACAGTTCCCACTTTTATACATAACAACAGTACCCGGTTTTACAGTGTTACGTACCAACAGTTCCCACTTTTATAGATAACAACAGTACCCGGTTTTACAGTGTTACATAATGACACTATCCAGCTTTTAACGTTTTATATTTTACAGAAATAACCCCAGTGGGGCGGTCGGGTAGCCTAGTGGTTTAAGCGTTCGCTCGTCACGCCTAAGACCCGGGTTCGATTCCCGACATGGGTACAATGTGTGAAGCCCATTTCTGGTGTCCCCCGCCGTGATATTGCTGGAATATTGCTAAAAGCGGCGTAAAACCATACTCACTCACTCACTCACTCATAACCCCAGTGTCCGCTTTACATTATTATTTGACAACAGTTCCTGTTTCTATCGTGTTCGATTGGAACAGTACAATGATATCCGGTTTCTCACCATAGAGACGTGTGTATTACTTTGTGTTAATGGTAAGAACAACGAGCGTCACAGTAAACAGAGAGCGTGGTTGATATGTCTAAAAATTTATTTCATATATCCTTAAATCCAGGAATGAAAGCTGAGGCTTGTCAGGGTGTTTCCACTTTCTTTCCCTGGAAGAGAAATACATTTACTGTAGCATTTAACATGATATTTACATGGCGTGTCAGGATGAAAGCTCAAAGTCGTTTAGGCTGTAGATGTTATAACTTTCACGAAACATGTTAACCCCCGTGTTCATGACAACACAATGATCATCACCAGATCCTCGTGTTCACGATGCGTGGCATCTGAGACTGATTTTGATCGGGAATCATACGGAGAATGTAATCACTTTAAACGTCATGGCATTCCTGTTCTCTAGGTCATAACTTATATGCACTCCTATGCGATGTACAAGCTCAGTACAATTCAATAACAAGTTCAGGGCCGTGAACTCACTCATACACAGCAGTATAACTCATACCAATAAATACAGACAGACCATGCCTGTAAACATATACTTATTGTATGTCTGTTTGTTTGGAGGCAACCATTTCATTTCCGGTTGAGCTCTTTTTTTTATGCCCAGGGGCTAAATTATTTTTTAACACATAAAAAGGTGCTCAATTGTGTTACTAAATAAATAGAATTAACCAACCGTATTCTTTGAAAACTCGTCTGCAAGAAAAGGTACATTATGTTGTATTTGTGGTAAACCAGGGTGTTGATAATATTTTTAGACACCCATACCACGCCCACCACCCCACCACCACAAGAAAATCAATAACAAATCAAATGGTTGCCCCCTTTGATTGGTATTACAGTACACAGAAATTATGGGATACCCACCGCTGTGTATATGATTATCTCTGGTAAGGTGGCACTGCCGTCTTCTGTAATCAGATGTTTCAAGATTATTCAAGATTATTCAAGATTATTCAAGATTATTCAAGATTATTCAAGTTTATTCAAGATTATTCAAGTTTATTCAAGATTATTTAAGATTATTCAAGATTATTCAAGGTTATTAAGGTATTTGAAGCTTATATTTATATTTATTTATTTATTTATATGCACAATGCACATTCATTTAAGTGATGACACAGATCATTTCGGATCAAAACATTTCACAAACAAATTGTTTTCCAGAGGACATGTACCTATGGCCTGTACATACCGAGCGATTGACAGGTGAGGTGGACGTGACATTCAACATTAACTCTGTGTTTGTAGACACAGGACGAATAACAAAGGAGTAGTGAAATACTGAACTGCATGTAATGAAATACTTAACTACATGTAATCAAATACTAAACTACATGTAATCAAATACTAAACTACATGTAATCAAATACTAAACTACATGTAATCAAATACTAAACTACATGTAATCCAATACTAAACTACATGTAATCAAATACTAAACTACATGTAATCAAATACTAAACTACATGTAATCAAATACTAAACTACATGTAATCCAATACTAAACTACATGTAATCAAATACTAACTACATGTAATCAAATACTAAACTACATGTAATCCAATACTAAACTACATGTAATCCAATACTAAACTACATGTAATCAAATACTAAACTACATGTAATCCAATACTAAACTACATGTAATCCAATACTAAACTACATGTAATTAAATACTAAACTACATGTAATCAAATACTAAACTACATGTAATCAAATACTAAACTACATGTAATTAAATACTAAACTACATGTAATCAAATACTAAACTACATGTAATCAAATACTAAACTACATGTAATCAAATACTAAACTACATGTAATCCAATACTAAACTACATGTAATCAAATACTAACTACATGTAATCAAATACTAAACTACATGTAATCCAATACTAAACTACATGTAATCCAATACTAAACTACATGTAATCAAATACTAAACTACATGTAATCCAATACTAAACTACATGTAATCCAATACTAAACTACATGTAATTAAATACTAAACTACATGTAATCAAATACTAAACTACATGTAATCAAATACTAACTACATGTAATCCAATACTAAACTACATGTAATCCAATACTAAACTACATGTAATCCAATACTAAACTACATGTAATCCAATACTAAACTACATGTAATCCAATACTAAACTACATGTAATCCAATACTAAACTACATGTAATTAAATACTAAACTACATGTAATCAAATACTAAACTACATGTAATCAAATACTAAACTACGTGTAATCAAATACTAAACTACATGTAATGAACGTTAACACTTTTCTCATGTACGTTGTGTCGTTTATACCGATCAACATGTTTCATCTTTAATGTTGTATAAGCGAAGCGGTGCTGTTGTACTGTTGAAGCGATATGGTTACTATTGAATCAACGCCATTGTGTTCTTTTAAAATGATACACTCATGATGTACTCTTGAAGCGATGTACTCATGATGTACTCTTGAAGCGATGTACTCATGATGTACTCTTGAAGCAATGTACTCATGATGTACTCTTGAAACGATTTACTCAAGATGTACACTTAAAGCGATGTACCCAATATGTACTATTAAAGCGATATACGCATGATAAACTGTTTAAGCCATATACTAATGAGGGGATATACTAATGATGTACTTTTGAAGCGTTATACCTATGACATAGCCTTGAAGCGATATACTCATGATGTACTCTTGAAGCGATATACTCAAGATGTACTCTTGAAGCGATATACTCATGATGTAGTGTTGAAGCGATGTGCTCAAGATGTACTCTTAAAGCGATATACTCATGATGTACTCTTGAAGCGATATACTCTTGAAGCGATATACTCTTGAAGTGATGTACTATTGATGTACTCTTGAAGCAATATACTCATGATGTATTCTTGAAGCGATGTACTCGTGATGTACTCTTAAAGCAATATACTCATGATGTACTCTTGAAGCGATATACTCAAGATGTACTCTTGAAGCGATATAATCATGATGTACTGTTGAAGTGATATACTTATGATGTACTCTTGAAGCGATATACTCATGATGTACTCTTAAAGCAATGTTCTCAAGATGTACCCTTGAAGCGACATAATCATGATGTACTGTTGAAGCGATATACTCATGATGTACTCTTGAAGCAATGTACTCAAGATGTACTCTTGAAGCGATATACTCGGGATTTTATCTGGAAGCGATGTACTCGTGATGTACCCTTGAAGCGATGTACTCATGATGTATTGTTGAAGCGATGTACTCAAGATGTACCACTGAAGCAGTTAAACGACAACATGCTGTTGCATAGTAAAAGCAATGTCAAATAACATACACTGAACAAAATATGTTTGGGTTCATCAATAATTTTAGGCTTATTCGAATGAAATTGTGTGCTCAGTCTTCACTACAAGAACTATCCCCCAAAATATTCATGATGCCCTACGTTTTGTCCAGTATATCAATATTAAACATGACATCTATGTCTATAACATGTATATATCTTACTATTCAGATCGAATTTGCCGATGAGCTTGAAAAACTCCACGTCAGTTACCAGGCCGTTCTCGTCTGTGGCCATATTGTCCTTCCAGTTGACGAGGGGGCTTGCTGCTATTTCCTCGGGGGAGAGCCCGTTATTACCGTCTGATGGATGGAAGCAATACGTTTACTTTCGTCACCTACCCGTCGGGATCCCGGGGATGAATCTAGGTCCCCGGCTACCTGTGCTGGTCGTAAGAAGGAACTAAATGGACCGGGTAGGAGGACTCGGTGATTTGGTTGCACACTGACACCAACAGTCTAGCCTCATCAATCACGAGTGAGTGTGCATGGTTTTACGCCGCCTTTAGCAATATTCCAGCAATATCACGGCGGAGGACACCATAATTTGGCTTCACCACATTGAATCCATGTGGGGAGTAGAAAGGTGTGAAGAGTGAACGCTTTAACCACTAGGCTACCCCACCGCCCCTCATCAATCACGAAGGCGATTCGCTGAGCAGAGTTGCGTCCCTTGGGCACGCCAGAAACCTATGATTGTGGGTTCGAATCCCGGTTCGCCCCGATTATGTTTTTTGGTTTGTCAGCACCATACCCGTGCTCGTGGGTTTCACCGAAGCGGTAAACGTCTGAGACCTGCATCATTTCGGGCTTTCTTCCCACATTAAGCTGACACGCCGTGATATAACTGGAATAATGTTAAAAGCGGCGTTAAACCCCACTCACTCACTCACTCACCCACCCACCCACCCACCCACCCACCCACCCACCCACTCACTCACTCACTCACTCACTCACTCACTCACTCACTCACTCACTCACTCACTCACTCATCTGCAAATCCGACAGTCTCGGCAAAGAATTTCAGCAATCCTAAACACACCTTTATCGCTTCTCACAATGCATATCCCAAACATCAGGTGAAGAAAACCAAACCGAAAACCTAAGAACCTAGAAACAAATCCTGTTTCCACGTCCAAATCAGCTGCATAACCTATCCACATCTGCATCCCATACCAAAGCCATACCAGTCACCTGACTCTTCACGAATACAGCCAACATAGACTTGACTTTCACTTCCGACCGGACACTGAAAACATGTCACACGCCAACGGTAAAGGTCCCACCCAGTCCACCCTAAATCCCAAGGGATGTGTGTATGAGGAATCATGCAACTGTGGACACAAATACATTGGAGAGACTAAACGCCACTTAGCCACCAGAATAGAGAACACAAGACCTCTGTTGAAAAATCTGACATGAAATCTGCCCTTTCGGAACATCTCATCAAAAAGCCTATATATAGTAACTCTATGCACTTAATCAGCATTCGCCTGATGAAGGAGCAAGAAGTAGCTCTTAAACGTCGTGACAAAGAATACAAGAAGTTGCTATACAAAAAAGGTTTCATGTATTCATGTTCTTCCAACTTCCAAATGCCTATCAAAGACTTAACCTGAACATAATGAAAGGATATAGACCTACCCTTGTCCACTTCACCGTAAACAGCCAGGCCCTCCGGCAATGCCTCAAATATTCCATCGTGATTCTTATCAAAGAACAAACCGAATACTTTGGCCAACGTCTGGAAAGATTCTGCCGACACATCACTGAAACGATATTCGTATCCTACAGATAGCTCATCTTTACATGACTTGTGCACACCTGGCTCCGTTCTCAATCCTACCCGGGGCGGTCGGGTAGCCTAGTGGTTAAAGCGTTCGCTCGTCACGCCGAAGACCCGGGTTCGATTCCCGACATAGGTACAATGTGTGAAGCCCATTTCTGGTGTCCCCCGCCGTGATATTGCTGGAATATTGCTAAAAGCGGCGTAAAACCATACTCACTCACTCACTCACTCAATCCTACCCAGCAAATATATAAATACCAGTGACAAAACCTTTAATATTCATAAGACATTTATGCTAAGAGGAAAACAGCTTTAGATTCAAAGACGAAAATTAGATTTTTCTTTAGAACCTATATCAGTGGTGGTCTAAATTATCTGTGCCAATTAAGCATCTGCATGGTGGTCAATATAAGCCTACATAGTACACCATAAGAGCACACAAAAATAGATAAAAAACGGATTTATACGTTCTGAATTTCACTTTTTGTTCGTTTATTTGTTCGATTATTTTAACGCTGCACTCTGCATTGTGCCAGCTATATGACGGCGGTCCGTAAATAATTGTGTCCGGACCAGAAAATCCAGTGATTGACATCATGAGCATCTATCTACACGAATGACATGCATCATCCGAGCCAGGAGGCCTGACCATGCAATCCCGTTAGTCGCATCTCACAACAGGTATGGGTTGCTGAAGACCAATTCTAACTCGGATCTTTACGGGTCTATATTTCCAGTACTTGTGGGAAGGTATATCATTTGTCTCAGTGTAATACAGTGGACAGAGCGTCTGTCCGGTGAGGTGGTAGTCTCCAGCATCACATACTGTCATTTGTAAATTAACCGAAGTTATGACATATTTTTATTTACTAAAGTAACTTTTGGAATAGCGTAAGAATACAATGTCTGTGTGGACTGTCTCATTCTTTGCATAGTGCCAAATGACTTGCAACAAAGTCTCTGTTTACATAACCACTCACACATCAGGAATCTACATAAACATTCTAGGAACGTAAGGTCAGTAAGCAAGTTGACCAGATGACCACACTTGAATATTTATCGGATATATATTCCACGTTTCTTGTGTTTGTATATTGCATCGATAAAAATATCTGTAATATGAGTGACTTGGGTTTAACGCCGCAGCAGTATTACAGTTATATCACCGCGTGTCAGCTTAATGTGGGAGGAAAGCCGATGTGATGCAGGTCTAAGACGTTTACCCCTTTACTGAAACCCACGAGCACGGGTATAGTGTTGACAAACCTAGAATTATGATCGCGATGAACAGGGATTCGAACCCACGACCATAAGTTTCTGACGTGCCCATGGGGCGCAACTCTGCACAACGAACTGCGTCGCCTCAGACGACTTGGCCACCTGTGCTCCCTGTATCCTATGATAAATGGACGCAATACTATAACGTAAGTAACTTACTATGACTCATTCTCGTATTTGATGGTCATGGTTCCTGTTGGTACCACCTTAATGGGTTTCACATCTGGCCTACTGCCTTTGGGCTTTTTGTCCTCAAAGATCCCACCGACTGAAGGAGGCTGAAATCCTGAAATACAAAACATCTTTGACCTGTCAGTGTTTCTTTCATGTTTGTTTGTTTGTTCTTTAACGCCGCACTAAGCAATATTCCAGCTATATGATGGCTGTGTGTATAGATAATCGAGTCTGGAGCAGGCAATTCAGTGATTGACATCATGAGCATCCATCCACGCAATTGGGATATGATGACATGCATCCACCAAGTCAGCGAGCCTCATCACCCGATCCCCTTAGTCCCGACAAGCGTAGTCGCTTTTTAAGGCAAGCATGGTAAGTGTAGTGAACGTTTACCAACTGTGTGACTATCTCATTTTCAATGTCAGAAAGTAACCAGTGAAGACTCTCCGCCAACTCAGATTCGAAAGTGACAAAATGGATGTGAACCTTATAAAAATGGACCACTAAACATCAGTGATGACACCCGGTGTTCGCGAAAAGGGTAAGCATGTCCTGCCCAACCGGTAGCACCCGCCATGCACACAACTGCATAAGAAAGTTAGTAAGTATACTCTCTCAAAAATGAAACGCATATAAGAATTTAAACTACAGATATTTTTTTTATTTTGATACACTGTGGACAAGTTAATAGCAAATGGAATTCGAAGACATTTTACACAGGACATGTCAAGGTATCACTGTTTAATAAGACATCGGAAAAAAGTCAGTTTATGAATCGACGTTTGATGGCGCTGTTCACAAGTCAGTACCTCGTATGACCACCATTGGCGTTCAGAACTGCGCGACATCGTCTCTGCATAGAACGAATTAGTCTCTGAATCTGATGTTGCTGCAATGTAGCCCACACTGCCTGTAGTGCATGTGCTAGTTGCTGGAGTGTCTGGGGCTGTGGGTTACGCTGTAGCACCCGTCTGTCCAGGGCATCCCAAAGATGTTCTATCGGGTTTAAGTCTGGTGATCTGGAGGGCCAGGACAGCACATTGATGTTCTCATTCTGGAGAAAGGCCCTCGTGACACGTGCCGTATGAGGTCTGGCGTTATCCTGCTGGGATAGCTCCCTCTGGCGGTTGATAATGGGAAGGAGGTGTGGACGAAGGACTTTATCGCAGTAGCGTTGCGCTGTCAGGTTGCCTTGGATCAACACCAACTCACTTCTTCCAGTGTAGGATATGGCTCCCCACATTATCACGCTGCCCCTGCCGAATCTGTCCACCTGGGGGATACAAGCGTCGGCAAAACGTTCATGACGTCGTCTGTACACCTGCATTCTTCCATCGCGACGTTCCAACAGAAATCTCGATTCATCGCTGAACCAGATTCGACGCCAATTCACCAAATTCCAGGCCTGAACGTTGGTACACCATTGAGCGCGATGACGTCGATGCTGCTGACGCATAACGGGGCCAAAGTAGGGTCTTCTTGCTCTTAAACGTGCCTCTCGTAGTCTGTTCCTGAGAGTCTGTGCAGATATCCTTCTCAATCCGGATATTTGCCTAGCGGTAGTGGTCGCTGTAGCTGTTCGCTGACGCAGGTGATGTACCCGGATGTACCTATCTTGCGCCGCAGTGGTGACTCGAAGACGTCCACTTCTAGGTTCATCTTCCACCGAGTTCTGCTGCCGATATCTCCCCCAGAGACGAGAAATCGTGCTTTGGTGAACATTCATTCGACGGGCAACTGCAAGTTGAGATTGTCCTGCTTCCAGGAGACCTATGCCGATGTGACGATTGGCGCGGCTCAGTCTTGGCATTTAGCAGTCTTCAAAAACTTCCAAATTAAGTGAATGAAAACAGACGGAGATCGATCTTTTATACCCATCCACTACACGATGTGATCCCCGAGTTTCCCGCGCATTGCACGTGCAATACGTGTTCTGTGACATTAAATGCGTCTATCGAAAATCATGCTTTAACATACGGGTTTTTCATGCGGGATGCGTTTGGATATGACGTTTTAAGACAAAAACACCAGAGAAATCATAAACAAAACAAATATTTTTGAAAAACCCACCCTGTACCAATACATTGCTGCATCAAATTACCATTTTCGTTATGCGTTTCTTTTTTGAGAGAGTATATTTATTGCCTGACGCAGTACGCCTGCCAGTTCGACGGCCTGTAAAACACACCACACAATTAAGTGATCAATGAACAAGACAATTCAGCTACACGATAGTGCATTTACTGATTTTGTTAAAACTAATAAAAACAATATGTTAATTTTTTAACTACGTCTGTTGTGTACAGAGATATAATTAAATTGCAATACAATCACAGCATTACTAAACGCGAATATCAACAAAAAAAATGCACCACTCTTTTCTTTACAAAAGCTGTATTCATACTTTTGCACTGCGATGAACACTATTTTTGTCAGCGCTGGTCACATTCTTCGATTTCTACAGAGAGTTTTAAACTGTGGTCCTTTCAACAGGGTTGGTATTTCCACAATGTATAATGACGAAATAATCATAACGATGTGTATACATAAATGAGTCGTTAATAAAAATAATTGAAAACTTTACCTTCAGCAAGGGTCACGGCAGCCACCAGGAGCACAATCGTCCTCAGCATTTTCTTTATATTGGCTAGTAAACAATTGACATTTCTAAATTACGAATATTTTTATGGAATCTGCGAATAAAAGGGAGAAAACAATTCCGTGATCATAAATCAAGAATCTGTTCCACAATTCCGTCAAAAGCATGCGTTTAAAGATGACTGTTGTCAATATATGTTGTGGCACATGTTTCAGAAGAAAAAAATATTCCCGTTAGATGAGACACAATACGAGACAAAGACAAAAGACAACCTGAGTGGGAGAGTCCTACTTGATTTCTCCCCTGTGTGTGTTTAGAACATTAGGTGCAACTACAGTCATTAAATAGTGAAGATTAATGTTGACAACACATGTGCCATTACTGCGTGTCGTGCAGGATGACCACCTGATAGTTCCTGCATGACTGCTGAAGGTCCATCTCGAGCAGGTGTACACAATCTGTTACATCTGAACGTATCACATTGCGCCGACACGGCCAAACTTTGAAACAGTGTCAGACAGGATGTATTAAAAGCTTACTTACCTTTGCTGACACGCTACAATTTGAAATCAATGTATAAATGTGTTAGTTCACCAGTCAGATAATACTAACGCTTTGTGCCAATAGTACTTGTATACATGTGTGGAATAATGTATTTTCAAATTGAATAGACATTAACGAATGTTAGCAAATGATTCAAGAAAACGTGATAGTAAATACGTTACAATGTAACACCTGCTTCAAAAGCGGTTCAAAGTACAACTGGTCTAAAGCGAGACTCTAAGTCTTGTTGAAGCTAGAGTGAGTGAGTATGGTTTTACGCCGCTTTTAGCAATATTCCAGCAATATCACGGCGGGGTCACCAGAAATGGGCTTCACACATTGTGCCCATCGAACCCGGGTCTTCGGCGTGACGAGCGAACGCTTTAACCACTAGGCTACCCGACCGCCCCTGTTGAAGCTAGAACTTGCATGAAGATGAAGCACCATCTGCATTAGCATACATATGGGTATCTGGTATATATCTGCCACATGCCCCATATGCAATAAACCATCTACGCGATGACCAATATATTGTATACGTCACTGGTACCTGGTATCATTGCTATTTTATTGTGGTTCATGACAAAATGTTTGAAGCTCGTGTCTGGTGTCCCCATTGTGATGTTGCTTGAATAGTGATAATAAACGGCGTAAAACTCACCCACTCACTCACTCACTCAACCACTCAACCACTCACTCACGCACGGACCCACCCACTCACGCACGCACGCACGGACCCACCCACTCACGCACGGACCCACCAACTCACCCACTCACTCACTCACTCACTCACCAACCCACGCACGCACGGACTCACCCACTCACTCACGCACCCACGCACCCATACACGGACCCATGCACGCACTCACTCACGTAATTTTCCGTTTCTTCAAGGAGCACGTCCAACGAACAAACTAATTTGGAGGTAAAACCAGAGGATAAATTATTTGTAGTCTTATTTAAAGAATAGACTTTGTCGATCCCTACGCCCAGCGCAGTTGTAAGGTATACACTGTGTTGTTGGTCCACAGAGAGATAGCGAGTGTCTGTTTACCGGTGCCGCAGCGTTAGCACTCCCAGCTGACACAGTTGTGACAAACCTGCAACACTCGATGTACAGTTTTAATCAAGGCACATCAGCCGCTGCTTGTGTTACCTGTATGCTGAAACCAACCTTGATTCCATCAATATTTTCTAGAAACACGATACATTATCAATACGAAGCCGACACATCAGGATAGTGTAAATGACACTGAAAATATGTATCACCACGTATATCATACAAAAACAATTCAAGTTAACTTTTCATGATAATAAAATAATAATAAAAGCCCTCAAACTCTGCTGAAAGCATAGTCGATTGTGGGAGTCCGACTATACTGTCAATCTTAACGCTAAAATTACCGCTAGCGTCAACTAATTGCGCAAAATACGAGTGGCTTTTGTTCGCATTAATGAAACATCGCATTTGTGTCTCCAAAAGGACTATCAACAATAAGCCTGCTTCACTGAACACTTTGGGTAGCGGAAATACCAACTTGAATATAAACTCAAACACGGTTTATCGAGCAGCAATTGTGGTTTTTGGTATGGTTGAGTTTGTTGTTTAACGCCGCACTCAGCAATATTCAAGCTATATGACGGCGGTCTGTAAATAATCGAGTCACGTAATTGGGATCGATGACATGCATCAACCCAGTCAGCGAGCCTGGCCACCCAATCAAGTTAGTCGCCTCTTACGACAAACATAGTATAAAGCAATGTCATTCAAACAATAGGAATTACACAATAGGCATCCGGTGAGGTATTTTGAGCACATGTTTATGAATACTGTCAATAGTGACGATGCAAGGTGTTCGCTAAAAGTTGAGTGCATCCTGCAGCACAGGCGGCACGGAAAATACTACATATGTTGTAGGCAGTGATGGTCAGTGGCAGCAAATGAAGCGCTCGTACAATATCGAGTATTGGGTGGCCGGATTGTTTGTGGTACGCCGCGGCAGGTAGTAATTTAGAGTTAACTCCCTTCGGCTGTTGTTGACAAACACGACAGACATGATAGTTCGACACACTATATCATCCGAGCCGACCAGTCCTTGTATTATTCCCTTAATGCTGAACACCAGGCACGAACATATGTTTGTGTGACGCGGCCAAGGATCGAACCCCCGACGGTCTCCGGGCAGACGCTCTATCGCCAGAACAAAGAGGCAGGCACCTATATTAGAGAGAGACAAGGGCGATTCGTGGCCTATAACGACCTGGCTTGCACCGTATATTCTCGGCGAGTGCGGACAGTATACACTATACCTATCTGAACCCTTCATGACATCTTCCACACCTTGTAAATTCAATTTTTGAGCCCGTGCTTATTTCGTTGATGCATGTCATCGATCCCAATTGCGTGGATCGATGCTCATGATATCAATCACTGGATTGTCTGGTCGTATAGCTGCACTATTGCTGAGTGCGGCGTTAAACAACAAACCAACCAACCAACCGTGCTTATTTCAAGACATTCTTGGAGGATCTGACATTGATTATAGGGTCTGTCACTCACTTTTTGTTTGTTTGTTGCTTGCTTGGTTAACGCCGCACTCGGCAATATTCAGGCTTTTTGACGGCGGTCTGTTAATAATCGAGTCTGGACCAACCAGACAATGTAGTGATTGATATCATGAACATCGATCCATGACAGTTTTCTGTAAATAATCAAGTCTGAAACAGACAAGCCAGTGATTGATATCATGAATATCGATCTACGCAATTGAGATACGATGACATGCATCAACGAAGTCAGCGAGTCTGACCACCCGATCCTGTTAGTCGCCTCTTACGACACGCATAGTTGCCTTTTACGACACGCATATACTCACTGTTGCTTCCACTGATTTGACCCATTGTATCGCCTTTTGTTATTGTAAACCTAAAACTGTGCATTTCATATTGATTTGTTAATTATTCATTGATTGTGTGTTATTTGCTGATTTCACAGTTCTGTGCGAACTGACTTCTGGATTAACCTAAGGGGATACTTTGCGGAATGGAAACGTCTACTGAGGACACTGGGAGGAGTAGGATCAACCCGAGGAAACTATGAGGAGTAGTACCAAACTGATGAAACTATGAGGAGTGGTACCAAACTGAGGAAACTATGAGGAGTAGGACCAAACTGAGGAAACTATGAGGAGTTGTACCAAACTGAGGAGGAAACAAAGAGTAGTACCAATCTGAGGAAACAAAGAGTAGTACCAAACTGAGGAAACTATGAGGAGTTGTACCAAACTGAGGAAACTATGAGGAGTTGTACCAAACTGAGGAAACAATGAGGAGTAGTACCAAACTGAGGAAACTATCAGTAGTACCAAACTGGGGATACTATGAGGAGTAGTACCAAACTGAGGAAACAAAGAGTAGTACCAAACTGAGGAAACTATGAGGAGTAGTACCAAACTGAGGAAACTATGAGGAGTAGTACCAAACTGAGGAAACTATATATATAGCTATGAGGAGTAGTACGAAACTGAGGAAACTATGAAGAGTAGTACCAAACTGAGGATACTATGCGGATACGTACCCCAACTGGAGATTTTTTATGGTGATATTTCATGCTCATTAATACATATTACATCTTTATATTTCAAAGTGTGCAAAGACAATACACAGATCCATACACTTTGTATGTGAATCTACCCTTGATAGGAGGCATAAAGGAGGCAACAAAAACAACTGTTTTGGATAGTAACCAGGTCCCCGTCATCATATCCCAATTGGTAGATCGATGCCCCCGATTCGATTATTTACAAAATGCCGTCATAACTGGGAAATTGCTGAGCGTGGCGTTAAACGAACAAAAAAAAGGGATCCAGTACAAGGCACGAGTTAATTCAGTAGTAGATACTTTAAAATATTCCCAGTAGCATGTATTGCAGTGGGATTTTAAACATATTTTTTCAAACGAACATTTTAGACGTGATGGGACCTGTCATGATAGAACAATTTTATTTTTCTGTATTTATGTTATTTGCCGGTCATAGCTTAAGCAGAGATTGAATTAAAACCTTACATCCTCTCCACAAGAGTGTATGACAAGCGGGATAACTTCAGCTTTCCAATAGTCAGCTTTCCCTTTATGTACAGCAATATTCCTACAGCTCCAGCCCCTGGTGTCTACATTTCACAATGTCTGAGGTACAATTGAGCTTTATGCCGAGATTTCTATTGAATATAGAAAGGGTTTTGTCGCTTTTATTAACAAAAGCACATATATTCTTCTCAATATCAATATCAGAATATATGAATATGGTTTAAGACTTAATGTGTGACCTCCATTCCGATTCTCCACACCCTTGTCCGCTTGACAGACACAGACAATATGATTCATTTCTTAAAATATGATTTTTTTCCTCATATAGGCCAAAGGTGAGGTGAGGTTAAATGGAGTTTACCGTGGCGTTCAAGATAGCGACGTGCATGCACGTGTGTGTGTGTGTGTGTGTGTGTGTGTGTGTGTGTGTGTGTGTGTGTGTGTGTGTGTGTGTGTGTGTGTGTGTGTGTGTGTGTGTGTGTGTGTGGCTGCTTGTACTAGTCCGGACTAATGCCGGTTTTTTCGTGCTACCCCAATCAGATACCATGCCGCAGTTTAACATCAATACCTCATTCAGGCACAGTATACTGACTCTTAGCGGACCAGTCCTTGTTAAGCCCCTTAATGCCGAGCTCAAGGCAGGGTAACTACAAGTACCATCTTTTAACATCTTTTGTATGACGTGGCAGGAGATCAAACTCGGGGATTGAACGGCAGACGCACAAGACCACTAGAAATATGTTTATGTATATGTTTGTATGACAATATCAGAATGTTGAGCCTGTGGATAAATGTGCAATATAAAACGACCTATACACCAGCTGAAATACTAACGGCTATGTCATACTCCCCTACCGCGTCAAGACATTTTTACAAACACATATTATCTTAGATATTCAACTGATGAAGGAGTAAGCATATACTCCGAAACGTTGTGTTCCTCATGATAAAGAAGTTGACATCCATATAATCTCTTCCTTACATATTATCTTGTGGAAATTGTGTGCGTGGCGGGTGCTACCGGTATGGCAGGACTTATTTTACAATGCTTTTCAGTAATCCATTCATATAATTTTCACCGCTATTTTGCCTTTTCCGCCCAATACTAGGCATTATTTCCTTTATTCCAAACACCGCGAGATTGCCTATTAGTCACTAGTTTTATTTCTAATGTATCTAGTCACGATATGGCTGAAATATTGCCGATGTGACGTAAAGCATAAACTCACTCCAATGTATCTAGTATGCATGTATAACTGTATAATGGCGCTGACAAAAACTGCATGTACTGACTGGAAATCTTTGTGAACATTATTCTTTAGCATGGACATGTGCAGAAAAAAAGAATGTCAGTGCCTGAAAGAGTGAGTTAGTAAGCGAGTGAATTCCACTTTGAACAATATTTCAGTTATATGACGGCGAGTCAGATTGAGGTGGAAGGAAAGCCCGAAGTCACGAGTCTCCAGACGTTTACCACCATGGTGAATCCTACAACATGGTGCTGACAAACCTTAAGTTGGCGAATCGGGTCTCGAACCAACCACGAAAGGTTTCTGGCACGACCAAGGGACGTAACTCTAGACAGAGACTTGCGGCGCGTCAGACTACAGGGCCAGCGGTGCCGGTTCGATCCCATTGTGCCTACATCCCATTGTGCCTACATTCAAATTTGCCTACAGATATCAATGTAGGAAACTGAATATAGAGCGACTGAACCACTAATGTTAGTAACTGAAAAAAAACCAGTAGATGCACTAACCCCTTGAAGATTTGGATTACAATATGTCTTCAGCAACCCATGCTTGCCGTAAAAGGCGACTATGCTTGTCGTAAGAGGCGACTAAGACATGCTTAATAAAACATGAAAACATAAAACATCATAAACACATGCTCAAAATAACTCACCTATGCCTATTGTGTAATTCCTATTCTTTGAATGACATTGCTTTATACTATGTATGTCGTAAGAGGCGACTAACATGATCGGGTGGTCAGGCTCGCTGACTTAGTTGAATCATGTCATCGATCCCAATTGCGTGGATTGATGCTCATGACATCAGTCACTGGATTGTCAGGTCCAGACTCGATTATTTACAGACCACCGTCATATAGCTGGAATATTGCTGAGTGCGGCGCAAGACAACAAACCAAACCAACTAAATGAATTAAATACTCCTTATTGTATAAACAACAACAACAACATAATTTAGAACCAATCACATCAATTTTTAATAAAGACCAGTGCAATTTACGTTTTAAATCCATTGATGTTCAAACAAGCCAGTTCTTAAGCTAAGCAGAGATATTTATACATAGGAGGCACGGATGGCCCAGTCGTCACAGGCGCCGCGATTCGCTTTTCGAGAGTTGCGTCCCTTGGGCACGCCAGAAACCAATGACTATGGGTTCGAATCCCGGTTCGCCCCGATTATGTTTCTAGGTTTGTCAGCACCATACCCGTGCTCGTGGGTTTCACCGAAGTGGTAAACGTCTAAGACCTGCATCACCTCGGGCTTATCTCCCACATTAAGCTGACACGCCGCGATATAACTGTAATACTGTGAAAAGTGGCGTTAAACCAAACTCACTCACTATTAATACATTTGGCTGTAAACTCTATTTTCGTTCAGAGATCAGTGCGGTTAACATTAGACTGACTAAAATGTGTCAATGTATATCACTTCCTTTATTTAAATCCCATCACATTGGAAAGTATTAAACAAGATCACATCATGTCTTTGAAAGGCATCTAGAAGTGATACACATAAGGACGAGAATATATAGATGTCAACTTCTTTATTATGAGGAACACAACGTTTCGGAGTTTATGCTCACTCCTTCATCAGGTGGAGTAAACATATACTCCGAAACGTTGTGTTCCTCATAATAAAGAAGTTGACATCCATATATTATCTTCCTTAGATCACATCATTGCAAGTATTCAGCGAGCAGAGTATCTTACATCTCAGACAGGCGGCCAGCAGGTGTTCCGTGGAGGTTACCGTTACCGTCTCACCGTGAGACGTACATTAAGGGTGCAACATACTGTAAGTGTGTGCATTCAGGGTGCAGAGATCGGTGCACCACTGTTGGAGATTTCAATATTTTTTTATGATTTACCTGTGGTTAATTGATTCCCTGTTAAAGAATTACTCAAACTATTGTTATATTTTTCTTCTGTGGTTTATTATACATATGATAAAGCAGTGACTTTCATTATGTTATGGTTTTATTTCACATGTTTTTTCCCATTGTGTTTCGTTGTTTCGGTATGGACAAGTTTATCTCCTATCACAGGTGAAACAGGTCACAGTCATTTTCACTCATGCATCACTTCCTGAGCTACAGACCGTTTCAAAAAGGAACAAAAGAGGCAAATACACATAAAAATAGACGTTGACCCTATCCGACACAAACAGCCCCTACCACTTTCATTCTCAGACACGCCAGCGGTAGAATAATTGAGCCATATCCTATAGCTATGCATTGAAAATACCGTAAGAAGTAATCAGGTCACTGCTTTTACAAACAACACTTGATGCCAGGTCAAACAGCATGTTCACAACACCTAACGACGTGCACTTGGCAACCCTAAGTTTCAATTTGATATGCGGCATCACGTATGCTAATCCTGAGATCAGAACATTGGTATGACATATTCCTGTTTGAGAGTCCTAACGAAAGCAAGCAAAGCCTATTGTGGCATGCGGCCCTTGCCGTGTTGATGCAAATGGCAGGTCGCACACCTGACAATAACGCGGTGATCATGTACGACGTTTGTGTTTATTGTCAAGCTAAAAGTACGTAAGGGAACTTGGTAGAGTGTTTCTCAGTTGTCAAGACGAGAACAAAATGTACCTGCTGCAGTTTCTTGTGCTCAGTTGGGCGAATGCAGAACGTATGTAGTTTCGTCAAACGTATCTGTGTCTCTTATTTCAGGAAAGAAATAGACAATATTATTGATCAGCAGTTAAATGAGTGAGTGAGTATGGCTTTAATATTCCAGCAATATCATGGAAGGAGACATCAGCATTGTTTCAGAGTGGGAACACCGGGCCTTCGGCGTGAGAACAAACGCTTTAACCATAAGCTACCTCATCGATTATCCGATTATCTATTAATTATATTATTTAAATAATTTAATGTTTTCAACTCGATAAACGATGGGTTATTGATTGAGTGAGTGAGTTTAGTTTGTGCCGCTTTGCTAATATTTCCATTGTATTAATGCGAAAGAGAGTACAAATAGATTTCAAAGTATATCCAATTTTATTAAATAGAACCGGCTTTTAGGTGTGACGAGGAAACGCTTTAAACAAACTTATTATGCTACATACTATTTGAGCGAATCTATACTTTACGCCAATTCGGCAACATAAATCCACATTATGATGAGTTATCTCATATTGAGTGTCATATGCCATTTATATATCTAATTTACATTTAAATCTTCCAGCAAGACTTGGAATTGATTTTCATCAAGGCGATGAAGAGGATCAGAACAAGACCAAGAGTGAGTTGTATGTACTGGTATGTTAGGTGAACCGACGCTCATGGACCCATCACACATCATAGATCCATGACTCGAGATGCAGCATTTGTCTCGTGCAGGATTAGTGTCTAAAGTTTGGAAATCCCGTGCAGCATGTCGTGATAAGAATAAAGACGCTGTGGTAACACGTGCACTTGACTGATTGTAAGTTTTGTCATTAAGTAGTACACATTGGAACATCTCTTCTAAACGTAAATACATCTCTATATGTTTCTCGTCTTCAGCAACCCATGCTTGCTCTAAAAGGCGACTATGCTTGTCGTAAAAGGCGACTAACGGGATGGGGTGGTCAGACTCGCTGACATGGTTGAAGCATGTCATCGAGTCCCTATCGAGTGGATCGATCACTGGATTGTCTGGTCCAGACTCGATTATTTACAGACCGCCGTCATATAGCTGGAATACTGCTGAGTGCGACGATAAACAACAAACAACAACAACTATATGTTTCTATGGTTCGCGTTTCTTTTGACGGTGAGTATATTTAAGAAACATCATATACAACGTTCTTGTAGCACCGTGTACAACCAACGTGCCGTTAAGGGAGGAGGGATGTGAGGAGAGGGTATGTGCAGATGGTTTTCTGACCGGTATGCTGGTAGAGAGAGTGTCATTCGACTGCTGCCAACAGGTTGATTACTCCGTGGATTGTTATGAGGAATTTCCAGGTAGGTGCCAGACAACGGATTGAGCATACCGTATTCGACGTAATAAGCGCCCCGCTCTAATAAGCGCCCACGGCGATATTTGTGGATATATTGGCTAGTGAACAATTCCAATTCCTTCCGATTGATCAATGTACACAAGACTTATTTATTCGTGTATAATACGCACTCGTGTGTTATATGCACCCTTTGTTATGGACAATTTAATTCTGGAAAAATATATCTGTCGTGTATAATACACACAGACTTTTTTTCTATCATTTCAGGCTGTCAGCATAAACCACGAAATTTACGATCTTTCAACTCTGATTTTATTCACCAACATTTTATTCTAATAAGACGACCCTATTTCTTATTTTGAGAGCGCCCTGGGCGCTTATTATATCGAATACGGTACTTCCTTTTTTATTTATGTGTTAGATATTACTGTTGTACATGTATTAACGTGGTTATACAGGACAGCGTGTCTGGGTGTGAGTACAATTGTTGAAGTATCAAATGTTAAATTGAGTCCCACGTCGACCAAGAAAAAAGGACTCTGTAACATCTCCTGAAGCACGTGATCCAGTTACCAAGGTGGTAGTGTGGCCATATCAGTTTGCGAGTTTGTTATTTTCCATGAACATCCACAAATATCACCCTCCATCTCTTCTCGGTGTCTTCCTATTCTATTTAAAGAGTTGTTCCCGGATTACCTTGACGACGAGGACAAGAAGAAGGAGGATGACAAGGTGGGAGGTAAGATCCTACATACAGCAATGTAGAAGTACTACACTATGGAGCACAGGTACTTTTTCCGTTTGTATAGGAGGTAAGAGCCTAAATTCTATAACGTTGTTTTTTTTTTGTTTAACGCCGGACTCAGCAATATCCCAACTATTTGACGGCGGTCTGTAAATAATGGAGTCTGGACCAGATTTTCGATATTTCTCTTGAAATGTTGAGGAGTTTTAGATCTTGATCAGCGTAGTGGTCTGTGTACCTCCAAAAGATTCAGACGAGTAAGACTGCGCGTCCGAGCGGAAACACTTGTAAGCTAGACTTAGGGTTATGAAGGTTTTTTGAGGATATTTGTAACCACTGACGCTTCATGAGGACTGGTGTGACACGATCCAATTTTGTGCTTCTTGTGACTATTTTTGCAACAGTGTTCTGGATCTGACATTGCAGCGATGTTCTGGATCATTCCAGCTGACATTTAGAAAGGTTGACGCACATTTACAATATTGGTAACCTGGTTGATCATACCCTATGTTCATCTAATATCACTTCAGGGTTTGTGGCTTCTGGTGTTTGGTTGATTTCTCAGCTTCCAATAAAGGAGGACTGCGTTTGCAGACTTACTTATTAATTCTAGTTTGCTCCTCGCGCCGATGGTTAAGAACTCTGTTTGGGACTCGTTTAGTTTCAGAAAATTGTGAGTCATCCATTTCTTAATCTATTTATAGCAGCTCTGTAAGATGGACCAGTCAGCTGAGATGATCTTAGCATCCAGTCCATGACTCTCAAAACCACGTGTAGTGAAAATTGGACTTAAGACAATCAATGGGAAGTTAATGTAATTGTACATTACACTGAATGACTGACGAAGAATTTCTGATTTCTTTAAGTGACATATTATAAACGATATCAAAAAGAGTTTACTTGTGGATTTGAACGTCTATTTTCTTTCTTTTATTCGACCCACTTGTTGGTCACCTGCTTGATAAAGATATTAGTTAGCGCCTGTATTGAAAAGTCTGTTTGTCTGAACTTGATAGTTGTTGCAGTTGTAATAATCGATCCTTATAACTGAATGGATAAATTTGCTAGAGATTTTGTAGTATTTTATTCGCTAACCATGCAATAACAATTAGGCCACGCCCACCAACTGACTACTGTTTCCTGATAGGCTAAAAATAGAATGGGCGTGGCCTTTGTTGAATTATTGCACTGAACGATGTCATTGACATTCGTGTTGCTGTCTACAGTTTGTTGTTTGTTAATAAGCAGTTGTTTTTATAAAATATTTTTTGTTTGATTTCAATATTATTTAACAAAATGTCCCGAACGTAAACACCGGCGTCCACACTGTGTAAATCCGCGCTAGTGTTTTCGTTTATATCTCCACAAACACAAAACTTTTGAAGATCTTTTTTAAGCGGCAGAAGCATCTCATCAGTATATTACTCTCAGGTGTCCCCCAGGAGTGCAGTTCCTACACCCCCTTCCCCGATGGCATCAGGAGACGCTGGGACTACCCGCTAGACCAGGGGGAAGCTGTCGTACCGGACTACTTCCTCAGCAACGCCGACAACGTCTGGTACGGTGCAGTCGGCGTGGCGCTGTGGACGCAGCCCCCAGGCTTGGGCTTCTGCGGCGGCGTGTTTCCAGTCTGGATGAGAGGTGAGGCAACCAAACACCAAGGAAATGTTAAGCACCGCTTATAATATTTTTCAGTACTTCCATATAGTCATCTTTCTAAAATAGTACTAAGTTTCGGATAAGAAAAACATGTGTTCACAATGTGGCATATGCATTATGAAAAACAGAACCGAGATCGGTAATCTAACGACATGTTTGGTAACTGTTCCATGGCAGTAGTTATTGGACTGACCCGTGAAGATCCTGGGTAGAATAGGTCTTCACCAACCCATGCGACTATGCTTGTCGTAAAAGGCGACTAACGGGATCGAGTGGTCAGGCTCGCTGGTTTGGTTGATGCACGTCATCGTATCCCAATTGCGTGGATCGATGTTCATGATGTCAATCACTGGACTGTCTGATCCAGACTCGATTATTTACTGATCGCCTTCATATAGCTGAGAATATATATATATGGAATATTGCTGAGTGCGGCGTTAAACAAACAAATAAACAAACAAAAGTTATTGGACTACCCTCTTCTTCCTGCTTACATTATTATGAAGAGAGCCAGTACTTACAGTGTTCCTTTACCAAATGTTCATCATGTATCGATGGCATTTTGGCAAAATCGAAAGAAAGGCATTTAGCCAAGAAGTTTAACTTAAGCTTCAGGAAAACCGATGATCTGATATCGTTCAATTATGGACAAATACCCATTTCCCGTCCACTGATTTACACCCCTGAACTGGGAATGAAAGACACCAGTCTCACCGCTGCATCTGTTTCATATTTAGATCTACGCGTAAATATTCAGAGTGACAAAAAAACTCACCACAAAACTTTTTGACAAGAGGTATGACTTTAACTTTCCAATAGCAACTTTCCCTTTGTGTTGAGCAATATTCCAGCACTTTGAAAGGCATTTAGAAGTGATACACATAAGGAAGAGAATATATGGATGTCAACTTACTTATTACGAGGAACACAACGTTTCAGAGTATATACTTACTCCTTCATCATTCACCCGATAAAGGAGTAAGCATATACTCTGAAACGTTGTATTCCGCATAATAAAGAAGTTGACATCAATATATTCTCTTCCTTAATATTCCAGCAGCTCCAGCTTTTGGTATCTTCATGTGTGTAGGTCACATCACGCGTTCTCTTTCTACGAAGATTTCAAAGAACGTCATACGACTCTTGCTGAAAAAGTTGTTTGATCAAGGTTACAACATTCATTGCCTCAGCAAAGCTTACAAAACGTTTACAGTAGACATGTGGAGGACAGCGAGTGTTCTGAGCAATGACCACTCGGTGTACATTGCACAAACATCAGTGTTTATCTCTTGACATCGGGTGCATCATGTGCATTAGCCATGTGATATCTGCGCTGGATATCTTGAGGGTCGTAGTGTATACAAACCCGTGAATCGTTGTCCATGCGAGTAAACAATTTCAACAGAGTAACTTCAACTTATTTTCTAATTTGTTTAACTGGTAAACATCTGGGTTAAACCATTTAATGGTATCATTCTTTGAATTTCTACCCGATATTTTAAAATCATCACATGTTACCAGTGTACTCGTACTGAGTCTTGCTCGTACTGAGTCTTGCTCGTGTTTCGATGAGTGAGTGAGAATGATGTGACTTCATCTTCATAAAAGCTTCCAATCATATTACGACGGGTGACGCGTTTTTTACTTATTGTACCCAGGAGGGTAATCGGCCTGGGTCAATACACTCCGCTACCTGACAACCTTTAAAACACGGTACAGAAGAAAACATTTAGAGAATTACGGAATATCTTTCCCGTGTGAATGAATCGTGTAAATCCCGAAAAAGTGTCGAAGAGCATACTATGGAATACTGTAAGGGACATTCTCGCGATCTCGCATTCTCGCGATCTCGACCTTTGGAAACGAGGTAAATATGCCCAAAACACGAGAATGCGAGATCGCGAGAACGCGAGATTTGGCCAAAATCTCGCGTTCTCGCGATCTCGCATTCTCGTGTTTTTGGTACATAGCACTTTTTGTCAAAAGTCGACAACGCGAGAATGCGACATTTGGACATGATGCAAAATCTCGCAATCTCGCAATCTCGACTTGTCAAATTAGGCCACAAAATAACGAAATCGCGAGAACGCGAGAATGCGACATTTCATTTTCTCGCGATCTCGCGTTCTCGTGTTCTCGCGTTTTAGACGCTGTCCGTGCGCATGCGTAATATCACAAGGTCAAGGCCCATGCGCACGTTAGTAGTCCTTCGGTCATGCTTCTTTCATGTTCTTCATTCTCCAAGTAGCATTTAGCAAACTTATGACTTGAGCTTGAAAATGCTATGTAATTTACATACACAAAGTCTGAGTCATCTCCCGTTGTTACAGTTTCCTATGTTCTTTATGATAAAACCCTCAACATGCTCAATATACTTTAACAAAAGAAATTGTGTACATGAATGTCCAATGATGGTGAAAACATAAATGTGTCCGAAAGCTGGAAACAAAACTATTACCGTCAGTGAGTGAGTGAGTAATATTGCTTAAAGCCGCACCAGCAGTACTACAGTTACAGAAATAATCACAGGCCAGTGAGTTTCTCCATGAGGCAATGTTATACACGGCTAGCATATTCATGAAAGGCAAAATTCTCATAGACCAGTTTGAAATACAAAATTAATTATCATATTTTCATCCGCTCCAACCTGACTACAAAACATCCCGCTTTACATTATTTTATAGTTAAAATGGATAAAACTATCATTAAACCGCCCGCATGTTATCATAAATGAGCGGGCCACTGTTAAAGAAATAAACGACGAGTGGGAGTACAATAAAACACTGCAGGGAGAATAAACCATGAGGGGCTAGTGTTTTATTGTACAATAAACAACAACCACGAGTCGTTTAATGATTTTATTACTTGCCCGTGAAGAGATCACCCGTTTAATAAACATACAGCTGTATTACACATTGTGTAATACCAAAACGCGTGCTTATGTACTCTCGGAACACGTTTCACGAACAAATATTGAAAGCTCTCAACATCCCTTGGCTTATTCAACGACATTGCTTGTGGAGATGATAGATCACTGAGAGGAGCTTATGCACACTGGATGACCCCAGCAACCTTGTTGCTAGGTTGACGTCACGTGGCATTGTTTCGCCGAAGGATCTTGCGACAAAATTCCACAAATTACGTCATCGGGTATTGTGACGTGATTGTAAACTTTGAGGTACAAGGCCCCGTACAAGGCGATCGTACGGTAGCGCGACGACAGTCGTTGGTCAAAGTTAAAGTATATGAGTTGCGATAACCTTAACGCTACGATAATTTTGTGGAACGGACGCCTGAATTCTAAAGGTGGACCGTTGGATGGTATTAAATTCATACGTTTCAACTTTTGACGTATTTGAAGTATTACTGAAGTATTACTGTGTTAAACTCAGTTGGATTATGCCGTGGATCGTGTAGGTGTCAGCCTATTCACATTCAACAGTATAATTCTAAAAACGTTATAAATGGCCAGTAATAAATAAAATACTAAACTCGCTCCCGTGTAAAACCAATTTTATGAAACTCGTGAATAGTTATGGTATCTGACTCGCTTTCGCTCGTCAGATACCAGAACTATTCACTCGTTTCATAAAATTGGTATTACACGGGAGCTCGTTTAGTATTCTATATATATGAGATATCAACATTATGTACAGCCTCTTTAAGGATGTTGATAAAATGTACAAGGTTTAAAAATATTTACCCCTATTTAAGGCGGGTATTTCCCGCATATGCTCACACAATCCTCAGGTCGATTACACGTACCTTTTCTCCCAAAACCGATTGTCATATTGTAACCGGGGATTGTGAAGGAAAATACAATTTCAAACATAGGCTACGGGTGTGAGTGTTTATTGCCAGAGTAGATAATGACATCCTTTAATGTACAAAACAATAACATTATAAAAAACAATACTGCATAGGTTTCATACACATACATATTCATACAATCATTCAGTTCATATAAACATACGTCTATATTCTGTACATGAACATGAACTTAATAATCAATGATATACAAAATCATTATCTTAACCCTATAATAAACAAACAATTCATCAAGGGCGATAACTCGATCCCGACATCACTCATAAGATACAATATAAACCTGGTCCATGTTGTAAAATACACTTAACATTATAAATACAATTACCACTTTCTTGAAACTGCTGTATGTATTCAGTAACTCACCATATATTTGGCACGATACACTATTTACAATTCATATTTCGAGACACGACAAACATGTAAATTACCCGTACCCTGTGGGTGACACTGGGATGTTTATCGTCTTCATGCAGCCGCCATTACGATAAAAGTGCCACAACATCCATGGAGAGTAAACTGACGGTCACTTCCCTCTCACAATTAACGTCGTCACTCACTGCGTTATAATGTTACAAGATCACAATCGAATCATCAGAAATGAGGTCATGATTAATCGTATAATACATCCCGCTTCGTTCTTCGATGTTCTTAGCGATTAAACGCGTAGTCATCTATAGAGTAAGTGCGAGAGTTGGGTCTAACACTGCTTTTATCAGTATTCCAGTTATATCACAGCGTGTCAGCTTAATATGAGAGGAAAGCCCGAAGTGATGCAGGTCTCAGACGTTTACCTCTTCGATGAAGCCCACGAGAACGGGTATGGTGAAACAAGAAACATAATCAGGGCGAACCGGGATTCGAACCCACAATCATAGGTTTCGGGCGTGCCCAACTGACGCAGCTCTGCACAGAGAATCGCGGCGCCTTAGACGACTGGGCCACCCAAATGAGTGTTTATATATTTGATGTCAGACCGCCGTCATATAGCTGGAATATTGCTGAGTGCGGCGTTAACAACAAACAAACAAACAAACTCTTTCTGAAAAATACCATTTGGCATCCATGTTGGTTATTTGACTGTTAGTTGTCAGACAATATTTGTCAAATTCAGTCAGTTCACAGGCAAGAAAGGGAGCGTGTTCTTGACTTTATTA